TGGGGGTGACGGGGAAGGCGGCACATGGAAACCTTTGCGGGTGGCAGTTCCCTAGGTTTTATACGTCTCACTCTTTTTTCTTTTTTTTTTGCAGTTTTTGGCTGAGGCTGGGTTTGAATCTGCCACCTCCGGCACATGGGGCCAGTGCCCCACTCCTTTGAGCCACAGGTGCCGCCCCACGTCTCACTCCCATTGTCGAACTGCGCACATATTTATTGGGTGTATTTATACCTCCATAAGGATGACTACAAAGAAAATCTTTGTCTTGACTCCTTGCTCCACACAGTCACAACCCCAGGCGGGGTTCTGGGCCCTCTTGGGCTCATATTGGTACTATCTGTATCTCCAATGGAAGCCCCTGAAGGCAGAGACTGTGATCAATTCTTCTCTACCTTCTTGGCACCCTGAGTTCGATAAATCCTTGAATGAATGAAAGAATGGACAAAAATCTCATGAACTGTTCATTCCAGTCACTTTCTGAACATGCCTCCCTTTGGTGGTACCACCCACCCCCATGCAATCTGTACACTTTTCTCTTCCCAGGCTGGAAGGTCCCTGGGGGCAGGGCTGGGTACCATTTGGTCATCTGAGTGTCTGTGGTGCTATGACCTAATGCCCCATTCTCCCTACAGTCTATGGGCAAATATCACCTCCTGTTCCCACTCCCTCCCCACCCTCTCCCTCTGCACAAGTGCCCAGCCCTACCCTGAGTGCCAGCCAGTGGACCATGGGGCCTGCACATAGGAGTGTGCTTCAGAGCCTCCAAAGATAGGTGAGAAATACAGATTCCTGGGTCCTTTCCCAGAGCCAGGATGGTTCTAGCCCAGCATGTCCAAGAGATTCTGACTGACACAGGTAAATAACCACAAGATCAGCCAGGTGCAATGGCTCATTCTGTTATCCTAGCACTCTGGGAGGCCAAGGTGGGTGGATTGCCTGAGGTCAGGAGTTTGAGACCAGCCTGACCAAGAGCAAGACCCTGTCTCTAGTAAGAATAGAAAAATTAGCCAGGCATTGTGGCAGGTGCCTATAGTCCTAACTACTTAGGAAGCTGAGGCAGGAAGATCACCTGAGCCCAAGAGTTTAAGGTTGCTGTGAGGTATGATGATGCCACAGCACTCAACTCCAGGACAATGGAGTGAGATTCTGTCTCAAAAATAAATAAAAAAGAACCACAAGACTAGTCCTCTACCAAGAGCTCTGCCCCTTCCCTGGGCAGGAGTATGTTCCCATTGGCTGGAGCAGGCCCTGACTAACCCAACGGGAGTATGAAGCTAGGGCTGGCACAGGAGCAATGATTCTGGGCAAAGGAGGTTTGAGGGGACAGGCTTAGGTGTCCCTAATCTGGGGAGGGTTTTCTGTGTCACTACTACATCATCTCCCTCCACACGTAGCCAAGGCTGTGCGTGGGGGACCGAGATTCCTGGTAACCCCTAGATACTGCTGTCTGGAAAGGAAATCTCTTGTGGTGAACGATGAGCAAGGCCCAGAGCTTTTCCCAGGGAGGAAGGAGCCGGCCGGGTGGAGGGGTGGTTGAGACCGGACAGGAAATAGCAAAGTGAGATTCAACATGGGAAAAAATCCAGGAACACACATCTGCAGTGTGAAGGGAAAGAATCCAGAACACATTGGGGCCTGGACATATGTCCCCTCCACCACAGGGACCCCAGGGAATGGACCTTTCCATATGCCAGCCTGCCCTTGATTGCAGCCCCCACCCCAGGCTCCAAGGATGCAGGGTCAGATCAGGGCCTGTAGCAGGGACTGAGTCAACAAGGGCAGAGACTTCATTTGTCAAAAGCTGAAGATCAAAAGGTTTAGCAGCTGTATTTCACATCTGGGAGGGGAGATGCAGCCAGACAGGAAAGAGGCTCCTGGGACAAGCCAAAAGGAGCTTGAGACATGACCATAGAAGGGATCCTGGATGCAGACCTGGAAAATCCAGGATCTTCTTGAGGAATAACAACAGCTAACGTTTACTGAGCACTTACTGTGTGCAGGCTCCTAAGCCAGGTTATAGTGTTACACAGCCCCACCGTAAAGAGGGAAACATGGAGTGGAGAGTCAGGTTCCCCGTTTGAAGCAGGCATGCGGCAAAGCTGGGATATGGGCCCTGGTGGTTGAGCTCCAATGCCTATGCTCTGACTACTGTGCTACCCCACCTCTGTGACCAGCACTGTGGAATGAGTGGGAACCGAGGTCACTAAGAGGCACTCTCACAAAGCCTCTTGGCCACACTGTACTTTATTTATTTATTATTTTTGGAGATAGACTCTCACTCTGTTGCCCTGGGGTTGAGTGCCATGGCATCATCATAGCTCACAGCAACCTCAAACTCTTGGGCCAAGTGATCTTGCCTCAGCCTCCCAAGCAGCTGAAACTACAGGTACCCATCACAACACCTGGCTAATTTTTCTATTTTGGGGGCCTTGAACTCCTGAGCTCAAGCAATCCACCCACCTTGGCCTCCCAGACCGCTAGGATTACAGGTGTGAGCCACCCACCACACCTAGCCTCACACTGCACTTTAGTTTACAAAGCATTTATTCAGCCTGGTACTGTCTGAGGTGACTGACAGTGATCCTCTGAGGTGGTAGAGATGGTGTACGTGGCCCCTTCCACAGAGGAGGGACCTGAAGCCTGGGGAGAGTACCCAGATCACAGTGAGGGCTGGTACCTATCTCCTTCCCCCACCCTCTGCTTACCAGGAAAGGAGATAGAGGCTGGGGCCAGCCCACCAGGCTGGTCATAAGGCCTGAGCACAGGGCAGTACCAGGAAGTCAGGCTTGGCTAGTCCCCATCCCAACCTGACAAGGCCCCAGGATGGCCCCACGGGGTGCCTAAACTGGCAGCAGTCCAGACCTGTGCAGTGTGTGCCTCAGGTCCCCAGGAGAGCCATTAGTAGCTCCAAAGTCAGAGGCAGAAATAGAACCCAGGCTTCCTGTCCTCCAGTGCGTCTCCGGCCGTGAGGGAGCCCGGTTTCCTCCCAGAGGAACCAGCACTTCAGGCAGGCACTGGAGCTGGAAGGCAGGGCCAGAGAGGAAGGGTCTCAGGGGGCA